GTAGAGAGAATAGTGCAACAATGAATGAATGGAAACCCAAAATCTCTGTAAATGTTTATGAAAATTAATAAAATATAATTATAGAAAAAAAAACATGAGCAAAACCTTGTTAAAAATAAGTCTCACAGAATCTCTAACTATTGGATATTTCGGAAACAAACTTAAAAATAAGTCTCTATTTAAAAATATGTTACTGTACAAGAAATTAAAAACATTTCAGAGAACAAGAAATAATAAAATTCATATAGAAGCTTCAAAAAAATAAAATAAAATAAAATAAAATGGTACAAGCATTCCGGAAGGCAGTTTGGTATTTCCTCAAAAAGCTGAACATAGAAATTCTATATGACCCAGTTATTCCACTGCTAGGAATATACTCCTAGGAAATTAGAACTGAGGCACAAACAGAGATTTGTACACCAATGTTCATAGCAGCATTACTCACAATTGCAAGAACATGGAAACAACTCAAATGTCCAACCATCATCAAATGGATTGAAAAAGTGGTACATTCACATGATGGAATACTATGCAGTGCTCAAGAATAATGATTTAGAAAATTACTACATACTTAGGAGAGATTGGAGAACATTATGCTGAGTCAGTCTAATAACTCAGTCGCAAAAGGACAAATACTGCATAAGACCAATACTGTAAAAATAGAAGGATAACCAGTATATAAAGTTTAAGGAGGGGGGGAAGGTGTGGAAGCAGAGTGGAGAGAATGGGTAGGGGGGAAAGCACAATTTGGTGGGTCGAGGGAGGGGGTAAAATAAATGGGAAAGATCCAGCAAGGATCTGAAAAGATGAGGTAATGGTGGGCAGAGTTGAATGGTGATTGGTTTTGCAGGATGCAATGAATGGGAATGACTGTATGAAATACAAAGTGAATGAAGGATAGTGTGAAACACAATGTACACAAATTTTGTATGCACATCAATATAAAACAAAAAGACCTAGTCAATGTTGAAGAGAAATTCTTTATGATTTGTTCTATATGCTTCTATGTGCACAAAAAGTATATTTCACTATTACTGAAATAGTTTTTAATTTTAAGTCTTCAACAAAACATTCAATACACTAATAACATCATATAAGATTTTTCAAAGTTATCAAAAGTTTCAAAGTTTGAAATGCATTTTTTAAAAAGGATGTTTAAGTAAACCTCCCTTTTTTTCCCTTCTTATACTTAACATCAATTTCATGATCCATACTCGGAACTACCAGGCTTACCTAACATAGCCAGCTTCCTAATCTACCATTAAGATGAATATCATAATAGTCTCCTGAGTATGTGACTCTCATTCACATAGCCCTCTACACAGGTACTGATCATATGAACTAGAGACCCAAACTGCCAATAATTATTATTATTATTATTGTAAATGGTAACTAAATAAAAAGTAATTGAATAGCAAAAACATAAAATATATATATATCAGCAACTCATTACGATTATATAAATAGAATAAAATAAAATGTTCTGATATTATCATTGTTTTCAGAGATCACCCATATGTTTATAATCCAAAATTGGAAGACATTCTCCAAATAGGTTCCCATGCACTAAAGAGGTTTCTCTTTTTCAACAATCAACAACTTGAGTGTATCTGATCAATAGGGCTATTAAAAAGCTCATATAAGATATACCAATGTTAAAACAAAATTCCACACTTATCCTAGAAAATGGAAATCAGTTTAGTTAGTATATTGAAAACTTTTTTAAAAATCCAGTATGCTTTTAACAAAACACAACCATTTTCTAAAGTGTATCAACTAAAAAGTAAATGTAATTCCTTTCCTATAAAGATGACATATTTTCTCCCATACTCAACTCACTCAATATATTTAAGTGCAAAGTAACAGAAATCATGGCCTCCAAATAATACATTTTCAAGGATAAGATGGCAAGAAAAGGAGAGGTTTCTAAAGTTAGTGAATTTTTAAAAATCTCATGATACCTTTAAGACCGTGTTTCAGACAATGTTCCATAACAACAAAAAACTGCTGCAAAGGGGGATAGTCCGAGTCCAAAGTACGGCCAAAGCTGAGAGCAGATTCAATGAGTCCTTTTATACTCAGTTTAGCCATGTTTAGTAAGTTTGCTCTCTCTACTGCTGTGGGATCTTTTACAGCTGAAAGCACAAGAAAGGAGCAGAACATCATTTGCAAGACATGACTCTGCAAGCAACATGAACTTTTTTCCTTCCCCTACAATACCCACGAGTTTGCATTTTTGTTGTTGTTGACAAATACTGAATATTTCCCCAAGGAACCTACACCACTTGTTAACTTTTCACACTTTGCACAGAAGACTCTCTTGCCTACTTTACCCAAATCATATTATTTCCAAGATTCTGGAAACTGTCCTCCTGCATTTGTTTTACGTTTTAAATGTTTTTATTACTGTATTTATTCTCCCCTCCAAGGAGAATGAGGTATTTTTTTAAAATAACTTTCTATAGAAGTTTGGCATCACAGGAAACATATTTAAGGATATCATTCAAAAGGTGGATAATGTGGAAGCAGAGAGGTGAGGACAGGCAGGGGTTAGAGGGTTAGGGGTAAGCATAGTATCACACAATTTGATGAATGGAGGGGGTGAAGGAAATGAGAAGGATCTGGTGTGAAAAACAATGTATTTGAACTTTGTAAATAAACCAGTATAAAAGAATTTTTTTATTAAAAAAAAAAAAGGTGAATAGTAGATTCAGCCTAAGGATGAATTTCAAAGCAAAAATGCTCAAGAGTAAGCTAGTAAAAGAAAAAAAAAGAAGGAAAAATTCTAAGACCCAAGGATCACCATAACAAAATATAAAGACCGATAATAAATGAGAAGGTACTAAATTCATACATTCAATTTAACACTATCATGTTTCTCTGTGGAGGTCATTCACACTGATGTGTAAAGCACAGGGCATCTGGCAGTTACTTCTATTTTGCATGACTCCTTTCTTTTCCAAGCAGAAACAACCACCAGGGGCCAATTTTACATTCACGTTCCCTGCCCTGTTTCATTTTTAACACAGAACTAATAGATTCCTTAAAATTAAACATACACTGTTTTCAATTCACACAAACATTTTTTCTATCCCCATAAATTTTACTTTGGAATTCAGATACTTTCTCCTAACAGGAATCTTTTCCACAAAGACACAAAAGTGAGGTGCAGGGAAATTAAGCACTTTGACAGAATGAAATAAATCAAGTATCTAGCTTTCCTTTATGGAAGAAAAACACAGGGTTCCCAATTATCAGTATCCCATTTCTGATACCAGGTAAGAGGCCCCAAGCGCGACAATGAATTCTAAGCTCCTTGAAACGCAAACAGCCCCACAAGTGCTGTCTGATGGAAAATCTCCATTCACGACATCACTGCATCCAATCTGCATCGTCCTAATCCATGGCAATCCTCATTCTTTTAACAGTGCCCATCAGTCCCTAACGTGCGATGCGACAGCCAGACAAAGGGAGGCTGCAGCTGCCCGACGACAGGTCGGTGACAGGCGCCGACAGCCTCACGCCAAGCAGCGCTCACCCCACGGCCGCGCCCGGCTGGGGTCGGGAGGGAGGCAGCGCCCCGAACCCCGCCGAGGGCTCACCCGAGGTCGCGCTCACCCGGGGGTCTCCCGTCGCCTTCCTCCCCACCTCCAGTCCTGTGTCCGGCTTCCAAGACGGAATCTGAGGGACATTTGTCCTCCGCCACCCCCAAACTTGAAAAGTCATCATTCGAGCTTATTTTTGCCCGATTAGGGAGCTGCTCTCTAGCTGGCCCTGTCCCCGAACCCTTGAAACCCAGTGGACCCCCGAACCCACTAACTCCCCAGTGAGAAACGGGGGAGGAAAGGAATAACCCCCCCTCCCGCCCTGCGTTGCCATGGCGACCCTGGGCGACCCCAAGTACTGGACTGCCACAAGCCGGGGTTTGAACCCGATTTCCCTCCCGGAGATCAGTGCCCCCAAGTTCTTCTCGCTTCACGCGGCGGGCAGGCTGAAATGGAGCCCCCTGTCTCCCCCGGGCCGCTCCCCTTACCCATGGCGGCGGCAACGCGTCTCGGGAGACGAAGCCCTCAGCCCCGTCAGCAGTCGCTCCAGCAAAGCCAGCCGAGCCGACACAGCGCCGCAGCCAGGCCGGCGAAGCTCACAGCGCCTCCCGGCGGCGGGAGGACGCCCCGCAACCGGGCCGCTGGACCTGGGTCGTGCGGCTCCCGGCAGGGCGGAGACGTCACGGGACGCGATGTCCACCAAAGGCCCTCTGCTATCCGGAAATCTCTTCCTCTGATCCAGGCCATGGTCTCGGCAATTCCTTGCCATGCTTTGGAGAGCTGGAAAGATTAATCGATGCCTTTGAATTGTAGTGCTGGAGAAGAGTACTGATCACACACCATGGGCTGCCAAAAAAACCAGATCTGTCTTGGACAGGGTGAAACCAGTCTGCTCCTTGAAGACAATGACTGTGAAACTACGTCTCACATACTTCGGGCATGTTGTCAGGGGGTGGAGGGTAAGCCCAGGAGAACACGACCCCAGATGAGATGGATTGACACTGATGGGTCACTAGAGGCAGGTGTGCCAGAGTCAATGAGACTGGCTCAAAATAGGCAGGATTCAGAGCTGTAGGGCATAAGGTTGCTATGAGTCCTAGTCGACTCAATGACACATAATAACGACAAGAGGAAAGGGGGCTCTGGTGGCCTTGTAAGAAGTTGCGCTGTCAATCCAAAGGCATGTAGGTCAACTCCCTAATCTCCTCTGTTGTTTACATCCTCTGAAAATCCTGACTTAATGTCTAATGACTAGCAGTACCTACATCTGTCTGGAGGGTAAGAAGAATAGGCATGCACGGGGAGACCTCAGGGGTCTCTTTGAGGGAGGCAAGGGGCAGATCTGATCCCACCATTAGACCCCAGGGGCAGATTACCCAAGAAACAAGGTGCTCAACGGCCCACAAGTGATTCCTCACTAATTATATTTGGGCTTATTCATCTGTAGTGACTCTGGCTCTGTTTATAGAAATATGGATCACAGGAGAAGTACTAGCTGAAGTGGAAATTCCCATTTAATGTGTACTGAGTCTCAAGTGCCCAAGTCTGGAGGCTAGTATGGACCTGAACTCAGAAAACAGAGAAGTTAGTTTGGTAATCAGTCACACAAGTGATGGGTGAAAAGAGATCCAGAACAAAAACATAGAGCTAAGTGGAGGACCCGCCTTTACAGAGACATGAAGTCAAAGGAGCCAGAGAAGACAGCTGTGAAAGGTCAGGAGCCAAAGAATAAAAACTAACTCAGGAGTGGAAAGGTCCATAGTGAGAAAATCAGAACAATGTCAGCATGAGAGCCACTGGTGTAGCTAGACTGTCTTCATAACATGACTCTAAGGAAGACCTTGTCTAGGCTTATGGAACATTGCTCAGGGACTGTATAAAGTAACTACTCAGTAAGGAATCGAATCACTACTGCTTTTACACACTGGTATGGATGTCATACTTGTAGACACTGTCAGCTCCTTGAGGGTCTGGTCTGGGTTTTTGTTGTGTGATTTTTTTCCTAAAAAAATATTTTCTTAATTTTATATTGTTTTGCTAACAAAGTTCATATACATTGTATTCCACATTATTCTTCATTCACACTGTTTCATACAATTATTCCCATGCATTAAGCTTCATAAAATTGATCACCATTAGACTTTGCCCATCATTTCTTCCCTGTCTTTTCAGGTCCCCGCCATATCCTTGCAATTTCCTTTACCTCCTCCTTCCACACACAAAACTGTGCAACCCTATGGTTTTGCCCCTCTGGTCTGGGTTTAGCTTACCCAAAACTATGAACTCACAGTACATTGAACACAGAAAATGTTTTCTTAACGTTTCCCAAATAATTAAATGGCCAGAATATTAGAACTGAAACCCAGGAATGAGGGTGCTCTGGTGATACAGGCTATGACAGCCCCTAAGGCCATGTCTCTTTGGCAAGCTGAATCTACCATCAGCTTCTTACAGAAAAAGATGGGCTATCTTCTCTCTCACAAACCCAAAGTATGGGTCGGTTGTGAATCAGTTCTAACTTGAGAAATTAAAGGAAACAAGGAACTTCTGCACAGGCTCTCCCACAGGACTGACTTTTCCAGCCAAACCTGGAATGAAACAGCCACTGACTAAATCAAAAGAGCCTTTCTATTTACCCCACTTTCAGAGTCCTTCTCTGTAATAGCTAATCAATATTTAAGTCCTGTCACTGTAATCTTTCCAGGTTTTCTGTCTGGCTACTCTAAATAGAGTCTCTCCATGGTCAAGTCCATTCTGCATGTCCTTCATAAAACTTCATAATGTCAGCACTGCTTGGTTTAAATTTTGGAGTATGAGCTGTATTTCAACTGTCACTACTGAAAAAAAAATGCTGGTTAACTCTGAAATTATTATTCAGTTTTAATAACTGACTTAAATGGAAATATCAGTTGACAAATTACAATAAGAGTATATAAATTTAAAACATTAGGTTCAAAGTGAAAACTAAATAAATGGCAAAGGAAAAAACGTAATTTTTAGATCCATCTTGAAGTACAACATCGTGAGTGACAGGATTATATCCATATGCTTACAAGGAAGTCCAGTGAATACCACTATCATTCATATATACGCACCAACAACCAGAGCCAAAGAAGAGGAATTAGATGATTGCTACCAACTTTTACAGTCGGAGATAGATCGAACATGCAGTCAAGATGCATTGATAATAATGGGTGACTGGAATGCAAAAGTTGGAAACAGTGAAGAAGAATCAGTAGTCAGAAAACATGGGCTTGGTGACAGGAATGAAGCTGGAGATAGAATGATTGAATTTTGTAAAATCAATGACTTATTCATTGCAAATACATTTTAT